GCGTTTCTGCGTCTGCCGTGGACAGCGAAGCTGCTGCGGTTCCTGAGCCGGACGTTTGCGCCAGGGCGAGGTAAAACGCGTGAGAGGGACGCTGGGCTACGGGTTGCGGGCTGCTTGGCAGGAGCCAGCGAAGAAACCTGGCAGGGATCTTCCTCGGGTCTCCGGGAGGCGCGGGGCACAGGCCGCGGTCTCGGCGCCCAGCAGTTGCGGGGCGCAAGGGGGTAGACGCAAGGCCAGCTCGGGCTTTCGGCACCCTCGGAGACTCCTCCATCCCCTGTGTCCTCCACGACCCTCGCCGTCCCCCTCCCCCATCTGCCGGTTTTGTTCTATTTCGAGGCGCTGGCGAGGTCTCGCGGAGAGTTCTGGGACTCGTTTCGGGAGGAGGTGGGAGAGGGCGGGCCTTGCGCGGGAGCTGCCGGAACTTGTAGTTCCGCGGGCTGCGGACGGAAGCGCAGTGCCCCTGACGTTGTTGTGGCAGGGTGGCATTTGGTCACCTGAAATCCGCCTCCGCTACTACGGAGAAGAGAGTCCGGAGGGCGTCGGGTTGGCGGCAGAGTTCGCAGCGGCCCTCTGCTGGAGTGAGGTGGGGCGATCTGGAACGAGGCTCGCCGCCCGAACACTGTCAGGACCGCGGGCCTGCCCTCCCGGCACCTCCTTCCCGCCCTATGATCAGGGTGCGGGATGAGAACATAGAAGGAAGAGAAATTTCTTTTATGTAGAACGCTTGAGCCCTTAAGGTAGGGTTCTGGAATAGGAAGGAACTAATCTGTTGGCCGAAAGCTATTTGTGAGGCCATCACACTGCAGAGTACTTAACTAAACTTGTACATATTACTTGCCTGATACGGTCTTTTCTGATTCCTGGTCTTCTGGATAGGATAACAATAAATTTTTTTGAAATTACTGGTTTTCACATTCTGGGCCCAGAACAGCTAAATTGAGTAGCTGCGTGGCTAATTCCTAATATGTGTTGTAAACAATGGCACGGGCATGACTGTGCAAATACTAAGGGAAGGATCAGAGGTAGCACAAGGTTTCCCTGAAGGTAGAAGCAGGGAAAACTGTGAGTCATCCAGTGTAACGACAAGATTTTGATCCACTGTAAGAAGTTAAAGTGGTTATGAGAGTGTCTTTTCTATGTAGAATGTGTGGTCATTAATGCCTGTCATTATAAGTTTAATGGGGTAGTGGGTGACTGAATAATATTTGCATTGTATGGCACCGGGAGGCTAACTTTTTTTCAATATTATGTTATCTTTTCCTGAGCAAGTGAATACTTTTTC